AAGTATAGATATATGTTATGATACAATAGTAAAGTAACTCAATTGCAGTTTCCTTGTTTCTTTGTTACTTAGTGTTACCCCTCTTTCCCTTTTCTGACGCTCCTAATGTTCCCCTTGTTATCAAGTGCCACTGAGTAGCTTCACACATCCCTCAATAGGATTTCCAAGGAGCAGCTGGTAAATTTGAACCGCTGATCTTGTGGTTAGCAATCCAGAGCTTATCTACAGCGCCACATCTAAAATGTATAGCAGTCTCTTGAGTACCAAATAGATTCCTACTCACGTGACCCTATGCGACAGACTAGAGCTGTCTCATGTTCAGTTAGCAGCGGAGCGATTAGGCACTGTGCCGCCAAAGCTCGTAGGATAACAATCTAAATCCTTGAGATTACTAGTATTGTTAGTCCCTGGGGCCAAGGATGGATATAAATCTCCAGTTCTCAAAAGTCACCTTTCAGGCTTCATTCACAACATGATACAACCTCACCAGTCATAGTCTGGAATCCCAGGAAGCTACCAGTACGCCTGAGAAAGCCAGCGCACAGCTCCCTACCCCATCCAAGTTTGCCGAAACAATACAGTACGTCACACCTCAGAGTACCCTCCCAGCTCAGTCGGAGCACACTGGCGGACGCATGCGCAGAACGGGCGCGGGCTAGCGGCCGCTCGTGATCGCGGGAATCTGATAGCCGTCACAGTCTCGAAACAGCCTGGCTCCCTCGTAGACGTGTGCAGAACGCTGGCAACGGTTATTTAGGATTAGTACTCGAAGAACAACAAGGTAAACATCCTTTCAGTGACCGGCGTGTTTCACTCTCAAGCGACTTACTTCCGGTTCATCAGCCGGTTCCGGTCCCCGCCCTTTGCTTCCGGCCGCTGTGGATTCCGCTGCGGCCAGTTCCTGCGTCCGCTGCACCAGCCCCGCCGCTCTCCAGGTGAGGTTACGTGGGATACCCCGGCACGCTACCAGCGTAAACACTTTTAGGGCTGGGGTCCCGCGGATTTGCTTTCCTCTCCGCGTGGCCTTCACTGCGGCCAATCGTGGCGGGTTGGGGCCGCCTCCGGGCGTCCCGGACCGCGAAGATACTGCTCCGCGATCCAGGCCCCTGGCCCTCTTGTCTCCGATCCGTGGCACTCGCATCTGGCCCTCTCGTCTATGTCGAGGGATTCCCGCGCCCCTGTGGGGTTTGCGTCCCTAAACTTCATTCTTCCTTTTGCTCGGATTTCTCCCTGTCTCCTGTCACCCTCCTTGATCAAGGCATGCAGGCCTGCTGCCTTTAGTGGTCTGCATATGCCGTCTGATGTTGCTGCATGCCAACCACATCACACAGTTCTCGCAGTTGCTACTTCTAAGCTGTTGTGCCTAGGAGTTGATGTACTTTGCTCTTAGCTTTTTTTTTTTTTTTTCCTTAACCAGGCTTCACGAAAAGTTAACCCATTTTGGTCAGTTCCTAAGACATTACTTTTGTTGCAATTTCAAATTCTTAACCTCTGCCACTTTCCGGTTGTGTGATCGTGGAGAAGTTGAGAAACTTCTCCAGTTGTCTAATTGTGAACTGAGCACAGTAGTTGTCAATACAGTGTAGTGAAGAGTAAATGATAATCCAATTAAGTTACTCAGCATGTTATCATTAGTCTACCACCGCCACCAATCATATTGCTCTTTACAGTGTACAGAGTGTTGTCACAGCTGTTACCTCGTGTCTTACAATACTTTTCTCACATACTGATAGCTTCATCTTGTGAATGAGAAGATAAGAATTGAGGAATTGACTAAACAAAGTCATGCAATATACTGGGCAGGAGAGAACTGCCAACTCAAACAGCTGTTCTTGACTAGGTTTACCATAAAAGTGTGTTCCCATAAGATGTAAAATGTGAGCTTGGGCAGTGTATTCATTATTGGGATTTGATTGTCCCTCTCCCTCAATAATTTTTCCATGTTTAATTTTAGTAGGATGCAAAATTATACAGGATATTAAAATAGGAAGAAAAGCTAAATGTAAAAATATAAAATGACTCAAGTATTTGTATTATGCTGCTGCATTGGTGTAAATGATGTGAATATTGAAGAAATGAATTTCAGTAAGTTAAAAAGTCTTAAGGACTTAATGCATTTAAAAGTGTCTATGTTTTGTTGTGCTTGACCCTTGAACATTTTGTCAACTTGTAGTGTCCGCTTTGGCATAGGTGATTCGTAAATTGGTAAACTGCTCTGCTAATAAGCATTTAGGTTCCATGCCATCAAGCAAATTTTCTTTTTTAAAGGCTGAGAAAACGGAATAGCTCAGCGTGTAGCGCTCAAGCTTTATTGTGGATCAGAATCAGCTGTGGGACTTGTTAAAATACATATTGCTGGGTTCCTTTCCTCCACTCCCAGCTGCGTTTTTAACTTGTTCCCAAGCAGTGTCAAACTAATCTCAAGGACCTCATTTTGAGAATCACTGGGCTAAAGATGGATATGACCTGGAGTCTTATTTTACTACAAACTCTGCTCTGCCTTGTCCATTTTACCATATACGGTATTAGTACTGACTGATTACATTCTTATCGCATGTAAGTTAATGTTATTCCTACAGACAAATATTAAATAAATATTAAATCGTATTTTTTGTTTGATTCAAATGGTCCATTTTGTTGTGTACCGACCCCCTCCCCCCCTGAAAAAAAATCATAGTATCTAAGGAGCTCTGATAGTGTAGTGACCTCAAGGTCAGCAGTTCAAAACTACCAGCTGATCCGCGGGAGAAAGATGAGGCTTTCTGCTCTTGTAAGGATTTACAGTTTTGGAAACCATATACTGAGTTGCTATGAGTCAGAACCGACTCCACGTCACACCACCATCACCACCATGATAGCATCTGTTGAGGAAGTGCTTTCTGGAATGGTATACATTGCCTTAAATTAACACACTTGCTTTAAATTTCAATGGAGTAGGTTGTAAGCATAAAGAGTAAATGTAAGTGAGTTTATGTGCCCTCTTCTGAGGACTCCTGGTGTGACACTATAGAATCAGCACTGAAATGCGAACCACAAGGTTGGCGGTTCAAACCCACTAGCTGCTCCTTGAAAACCCTATTCAGAGTCGCTATGAGTTGGAACCAGCTTGATGGCACTTAACAGCAACAACAACAATGTGCCCTCTTCTAGTGGAAAATGTTAGAGACATTTTGTAGCCAAGTTTTTTTTCGTATTGTAATTCAAAATTTGCTTTGCTTTTTGCATTTGTTGTTAATATATGAAGAGTATAAACAAATGTTTCATTAAATAGGTGAAAGCATTTGGAAAGACAAATGCCTTCAGATGAGAAAATCCAGTTTGCTGACCTGTGGGTTGATGAGTTTATGAATATTTTTAGAAACTCGCACATGCTATTGTTGACAAGCAATATAATCCTAGTGTACTTAGATCTTTGCCCATGGGCTTTGTATTTACTGCTCTTAGATGCCTTAAGTCTCCTGCACATTCAGTTCATGTGTAGAGATAGAAACATGAGATATAGTCAGAAGACCTGGTTCTCTTAACACCGTGTGGTAACCATTTACATACCTGTAGACAACTGAATTCTAGTTTCCTTAATCATAAAACAGGGAAAATTCCGTGGATTAACTGAAATTAAATAAATACTGTACAATTAGGCAAATATGAGAGAATGGCTCGTATTTATAACAGTTGTTGTTAAATGCCATTGAGTATACAGGATTTCCATGAAGCGGCTGATGGGTTTGAGCTGCTGCCCTTGCAGTTAGTAGCTTAGTGCTTATCCTATAGTGCCACACCAGGACTCCTTTAGCACAGTGCCTGAAGCATGAGTAAGCTTTGAGGCTTGTATGTGTGTTGTGTTTTTTTTGTTGTTGTTGTTTACTTTATATACTTACATAGTGCTTACTGTAAGTACTTAATACTTACTGTTAATACTTACATAGTGCTTACATAATGTTAGTCATCATGTAATTTATATATATCAACTAAACCCTCAGGAACCCTGTGAGAAAGTGACGTTATCATGCTTGCTTTACATAGAGGAAGCTTAGGCACTAAAAGTCACATAGCATCCCAATGTCAGATAACTTAGAGACATGGGGTCTGAAGCTAGATACTCTTGACTCCAGAGGCTGTGCTCTCTCTCAGTGACTACGCTGTACTGTGGATGGTTCATAACAAAAGGACCTTGCTTCTAGCCTAACCCATCTACTGCTGTCATCCATGTCATTTCTTAGTGAATCCCATAGGACCAAGTAGAAGTGTCCCGTAGGGTTTCCAAGGAAATGGACATGCTTGAAAAAGTAGAAGGTCAACAGACAAGAGGAAGACTCTCAATGAGATGGATTGACACAGTGGCTGCAGCAATGGACTCAAACACAGTGGCTGCAGCAATGGACTCAAACACAGCAACGGTTGTGATGATGGCTCAGGACTAGGCAGTGCTTCATTCCCTTGTACATAGGGTTGCTGTGAGTTGGAACCAACTCTACAGCAACTAACAACAGTAACAACGGTCTTTTTGGAAACAGACTGCCACATCTTTCTCCTGCAGAACAAGCTAGTGGTTCAAACTGCCAACCTTTTGGTTAGCAGCTGAGTGCTTTAACCATGGTGCCACCAGGATTCCTTGAGAGACTAACTTTTAATGTTCTGGCAGCGCTGCTGTAATGAGGAAATTTCTCTACTGTCAAATAGTAAAATATGAATCCAACTAAGCACTGGACTGCAAAGTTGGTTTGAACCATGAGGTTGGTAGTTCAAATTCACTAGCTGCCCCTCAGAAACTGTATACAGGGTCTCTATGAGTTGGGAACAACTCGATGGCATTTAACTACAATAATAGCCATCAAAAAGTAAAATACGAATCATAAACTTTAAAGTTACGTATTTGGATATATCTTGGACATCTCTTTTAACTTGTTTATTTTTATATGTCTTCTTTTCTAGGTTTTACTGATTTTTATTTTTTAAAATATTTTTTCTGATTGAGTGCTGCCTCATCATATGTTTCAAGGATGGCAGTTCCTCTGATTGTAAAATGGGGTGGACAGGAATATTCGGTGACCACACTGTCAGAAGATGATACTGTGCTAGATCTCAAACAGTTTCTCAAGACCCTTACAGGAGTGCTGCCAGAGCGTCAGAAGTTACTTGGACTCAAAGTTAAAGGTAATTCTCTCTCCCCTTCTACTTTTTTGTACTGATACATATTCGCACTTTGTTATAATCAGTTATTCTCTTTAATAAGTCTTTTCCCTTGGAGATTTCTTTGAAAAATTGTTTTAGTAGTAAGACAATTAAAAACTACTGGAAAATACCACCACTGTTGTTTACTTTTGAGTCTTCTGAGAGTTGGTATTCGCTTGTTAAACCTGTGACACAGAAATCCCAGGTGAAACAAGAGTGTAATTATTTTCTAACCTTTACCTTCTAGCGTAGCCTTACACTCATACCATGTTATCTTTTGTATTTTGAAAGTCATGATATTTACTAATTATAGGCAGTGGTAATATCTAGTCTAAAAGGGGCATTCATGGTGCTTATGTAATCTGCAGTGAATTTTTAAATCACTCAATTTTCAAAGCTTTTTAGAAAGGATTAACTTCATCTTGAATAACTAAATAAAATAATTTTTGTTTGTTTAGTTAATTGAATAAAGGTGTTCCTTTAAGATGGCGTTAAGGGAAGGAAAACCCCTGTATCATTTGCTACTTCTTAGTATCTTAATTCAGCAATAACACTTTGACAATTTAAAGGAAAACCAAAAAAACAAGATCAAACTGCTGTGGAATCTGTACCAAACCTTTTAATGTTAGGGTTTTGTGTAATGGAATAGTGAATCCAGCATCTGAACTTTAGTGAGAAAACAGTCATTTGCTTGTATTGTAGGCAAACCTGCAGAAAATGATGTTAAGCTTGGAGCTCTCAAACTGAAACCAAATACTAAAATCATGATGATGGGAACTCGTGAGGAGAGCTTGGTAAATGTTTACTTTTGTTACCATTTGTCACTTTGAAGATATTATGATGTGTACTACACTGTTATATCTTAGGTATATAAGTTTTAATTGTCGTAATATTGTCAATGTAACAGGGTAAAAAGAAAAGCTGCACAGTGAATGTGATATTAACTTAGCAGAAAATACATACTAGGGAGCTTTTTAGTACATAGCCAGCCATACGTATAAGTAGTATAACCCAAATGGTCAAATTTAACATGGTAAATCTGCCCCATGGACATATATAATGAATAATTCATTGTGAAAATTTTCTTCAGTGTGTGCTTGAAAGACTTTTGAACACAAATTGTACTTTTCCTTTGGTTTTTGTTCTTTTAATTTTTATTCTAGACATAGATTTGTTATGTTAAAAATAATCTGGTAAAACAAAACTTTCTTTCATTTTAATAGGAAGATGTCTTAGGTCCGCCTCCTGACAATGATGATGTTGTCAATGACTTTGATATTGAAGATGAAGTAGTTGAAGTAGAAAATAGGTGAGTGCTTCGCTCTCTCAAAGGAACTTGACTATAAGGAGAGAAAAAGTGAATGTTTCATCTGATTTTATTTTTTCTATTAGAGAAGAAAACCTGCTGAAAATCTCTCGCAGAGTTAAGGAGTACAAAGTGGAAATTTTAAATCCTCCCAGGGAAGGGAAAAAGCTCTTGGTACTAGATGTTGATTATACATTATTTGGTAAGTCAGCTAATAGCACTTGCTCTTCATCTTTTGTTCCTTACAAGAACTCCCCTACCCCCAGCAACTCTTGAGTTCACATGAAATCTTTTCTTTATATTTCTTTTCTTATTATGTAAAAGTAAATCATTCATTGTAGAAAATACAGATATGCAAAAAAAAGTCATCTGTAATCGCCAAACCCAAAGATGACCACTTTTGATACCTTGATGAGTATTTACCAGAGTATGCTTGATTGTGTTTACTTTTTTTCCTGTACTTAATGTGATGTTTCGGAGTCCTGGTGTACGATCAACACTGGACTACAAGGTTGGTTTGAACTTCAGACTCATCAGCTACACCTCAGAAACTCTGTACAGGGTCACAGGGTCGCTATGAGTC